CACAAAAAAAGAAAACTACAGGCCAATATCACTGATGAACATAGATGCAAAAATCCTTAACAAAATTCTAGCAAACAGAATCCAACAACATATTTAAAAAATCATACATCATGACCAAGTGGGCTTTATCCCAGGAATGCAAGGATTCTTTAATATCTGCAAATCAATCAATGTAATACACCACATTAACAAATTGAAAGATAGAAACCATATGATTATCTCAATAGAAGCAGAAAAAGCCTTTGACAAAATTCAACATCCATTTATGATTAAAACTCTCCAGAAAGCAGGAATAGAAGGAACATACCTTAACATAATAAAAGCTATATATGACAAACCCACAGCAAGCATCACCCTCAATGGTGAAAAATTGAAAGCATTTCCCCTGAAGTCAGGAACAAGACAAGGGTGCCCACTCTCACCACTACTATTCAACATAGTTTTGGAAGTTTTGCCCACAGCAATCAGGGCAGAAAAGAAGTAAAAGGAATCCAGATAGGAAAAGAAGTGAAACTCTCTCTGTTTGCAGATGACATGATCCTCTACACAGAAAATGCTAAAGACTCTACCAGAAAATTACTAGAGCTAACCAACGAATATAGTAAAGTTGCAGGATATAAAATTAACACAGAGAAATCTCTTGCATTCCTATACACTAACAATGAGAAAACAGAGAAATTAAGGAAACAATACCATTCACCATTGCAACAAAAAGAATAAAATACTTAGGAGTATATCTACCTAAAGAAACAACAAACCTATACATAGAAAACTATAAAACCAGATCTGAAAGAGACACATGTACCCCAATGTTCATCGCAGCACTGTTTATAATAGCCAGGACATGGAAGCAACCTAGATGCCCATCAGCAGACGAATGGGTGAGGAAGCTGTGGTACATATACACCATGGAATATTACTCAGCCATTAAAAAGAATTCATTTGAATCAGTTCTAATGAGATGGATGAAACTGGAGCCCATTATACAGAGTGAAGTAAGCCAGAAAGATAAAGACCATTACAGTATACTAACACATATATATGGAATTTAGAGAGATGGTAATGATAACCCTATATGCAAAACAGAAAAAGAGACTCAGATGTAAGAACAGACTTTTGGACTCTGGGAGAAGGCGAGTGTGGGATATTTCAAGAGAACAGCATCAAAACATGTATATTATCTAGGGTGAAACAGATCACCAGCCCAGGTTGGATGCATGAGACAAGTGCTCGGGCCTGGTGCACTGGGAAGACCCAGAGGGATCAGGTGGAGAGGGAGGTGGGAGGGGGGACCGGGATGGGGAATACATGTAAATCCATGGCTAATTCATTTCAATGTATGACAAAAACCACTGCAATGGTGTAAAATAATTAGCCTCCAACTAATAAAAATAAATGGAAAAAAAAGAAGAAAACTATAAAACACTGATGAAAGAAATCAAAGAGGACACAAGCAGATGGAGAAATATACCGTGTTCATGGCTTGGAAGAATCAATATTGTCAAAATGGCGATACTACCCAAAGCAATCTATAGATTCAGTGCAATCCCTATCAAACTACCAACGGTATTTTTCACAGAACTAGAACGAATAATTTCACAATGTGTATGGAAATACAAAAAACCTCGAATAGCCAAAGTAACCTTGAGAAAGAAGAATGGAACTGGAGGAATCAACCTGCCTGACTTCAGACTATACTACAAAGCCACAGTCATCAAGACAGTATGGTACTGGCACAAAGACAGAAATATAGATCAGTGGAACAGAATAGAAAGCCCAGAGATAAATCCACGAACCTATGGACACCTTACTGTCGACAAAGGAGGCAAGGATATACAATGGAAAAAAGACAACCTCTTTAACAAGTGGTGCTGGGAAAACTGGTCAACCACCTGTAAAAGAATGAAACTAGAACACTTTCTAACACCATACACAAAAATAAACTCAAAATGGATTAAAGATCTAAATGTAAGACCAGAAACTATAAAACTCTTAGAGGAGAACATAGGCAAAACACTCTCCGACATAAATCACAGCAGGATCCTCTATGACCCACATCCAAGAATTTTAGAAACAAAAGCAAAAATAAATAAATGGGACCTAATGAAACTTAAAAGCTTTTGCACAACAAAGGAAACTATAAGCAAGGTGAAAAGACAGCCCTCAGACTGGGAGAAAATAATAGCAAATGAAGCAACAGACAAAGGATTAATCTCAAAAATATACATGCAACTCCTGCAGCTCAACTCCAGAAAAATAAATGACCCAATCAAATAATGGGCCAAAGAGCTAAACAGACATTTCTCCAAGGAAGACATACAGATGGCTAACAAACACATAAAAAGATGCTCAACATCACTCATTATCAGAGAAATGCAAATCAAAACCACAATGAGGTACCATTACATGCCAGTCAGTATGGCTGCTATCCAAAAGTCTACAAGCAATAAATGCTGGAGAGGGTGTGGAGAAAAGGGAACCCTCTTACACTGTTGGTGGGAATGCAAATTAGTACAGCTACTATGGAAAACAGTGTGGAGATTTCTTAAAAACCTGGAAATAGAACTGCCATATGACCCAGCAATCCCACTTCTGGGCATACACACTGAGGAAACCAGATCTGAAAGAGACACGTGCACCCCAATGTTCATCGCAGCACTGTTTATCATAGCCAGGACATGGAAGCAACCTAGATGCCCATCAGCAGACGAATGGATGAGGAAGCTGTGGTACATATACACCATGGAATATTACTCAGCCATTAAAAAGAATTCATTTGAATCAGTTCTAATGAGATGGATGAAACTGGAGCCCATTATACAGAGCGAAGTAAGCCAGAAAGATAAAGAACACTACAGCATACTAACACATATATATGGGATTTAGAAAGATGGTAATGATAACCCTATATGCAAAACAGAAAAAGAGACTCAGATGTATAGAACAGACTTGTGGACTCTGGGAGAAGGCGAGGGTGGGATGTTTCAAGAGAACAGCATCGAAACATGTATATTATCTAGGGTGAAACAGATCACCAGCCCAGGTTGGATGCATGAGACAAGTGCTCAGGCCTGGTGCACTGGGAAGACCCAGAGGGATCGGGTGGAGAGGGAGGTGGGAGGGGGGACAGGGATGGGGAATACATGTAAATCCATGGCTGATTCATTTCAATGTATGACAAAAACCACTGCAATGATGTAAAGTAATTAGCCTCCAACTAATAAAAATAAATGGAAAAAAAAAATAAAATTAAAAAAAATAAAATTAAAAAAAATTAAAGCTGGCTCTAAATGACATGAAAGAAAACCATTTCATCAGATGCACACCACTCAAAAATATTGGTGTCCATTCATTTGCATTCAATTTTATTCCTTCATTCAATTAGCAGTGGTGACCCAGCCTCTCTAGCCCTGCTAAAGGACACAACACATGGGTTAAAGCTGTCAGAGCTGACTTGTGAACACTGGGAAGGAGTAGACAGTCCTCCAGATGGCATATGCTTTGGCAGTCCTGGCAGTGGACTCCCAGAGGTGGACATATCCCAGTCCTCTACAGTCCCAATCAGACTCAGACGGGCATCAGCTAACCCTCTGTTGAAGCCTACTTCAGGTTGCATTTGTCTAATAATTCCATTATGGAGACAGCTCCCAAACAACAAAGCATTGGTTGGTTAGTTGGTTTTTAACACTTAGTTCTCAGACTTTAGAGAATTGATAAAGTACAAAAACTCATTTTTAAATTATAAAATGTGACATAAATGCTAGCTACCATTCTACGAGAACTGGAAAGACCTTATAAGGGACCTTGTCCAAAGTGACCATTTTATGGATTATGGAGATTTACTAAGGGCTTCCCTTGTGGCTCAGCCAGTAAAGAATCCACCTGCAATGCCGGAGACCTGGGTTCAATCCCTGGGTTGGGAAGATCCCCTGGAAATGGAAATGGCAACCTACTCCAGTATTCTCGCCTGGAAAATCCCAGGGACAGAGAAGCCTGGTAGCCTACAGTTCATGGGGTCGCCAAGAGTCGGACACGACCGAGCAACTTCACTTCACTGAAGGTCACACAGTTTGTACGTGGCAGAGCCAGAGCAAAGACTCGGGATTACCTGCTGCCGGGACTCGACGGGAAGCACAGGTTTGTAACATCTGAATTCCACAATAATATATATATATATATTCAATTCTACACCATTTTCCTTCACTTTTCCTACAATTCACTTCCAAACTGTGCTTCTGATGGTGCAATATTTCAACCTCCTAGTGGATAGAAGTTTGTGCTACAGTTGACAAAACTGGCAACCCTCTTGGTACTTCCCCTTAACCAAGTACTCTATTCCTGCCCTCAAAGACTGGTTCCAATTTGAAATCTATGAGAGGTCTAGAGCAAGCCAGACATAACTGGGGATAGGAGAGAAAGAAAACAGCAAATGAAGGGGAAAGTGGGGAAGGTGGTACAGGCTGAAGGGCAGGGAAGAAGGAAACCGTGTTTTCCTGCGTTACGTGTCAGCATCGCTACTGTTCAACCAGAAAGCGATGGGCCTGGTGCCAAGGCTGGGGGAACACACCAGTCCCACAACCCTGCAGTCACATCTCACCTCTTAGGATACTTGGTGAAGCTTCTGTCTCATGACAATCATGTAATTCAGTGAGGTCCCCCTCCTCACTGGTGATAAGAGCTCAGCCAAATGCAACCCAACTACAGTCACCTCGGGGCAGCCTGGGGGCTCCTCCCCTGGGCTGCACTTCTCATATCTTCCTTATTAACACTTTGTCTAGATGACTTCTGCCATAAGAAATTGCAAAACTTTTTAGGAAAGAAGAAAAGTAAAATAAAATCAATGAGTAATCAAACATCAAAGTAAATACATCGAATTTACCAAAAAAGGAGGTAACAGAAAAGGCAGAGCTTCTCTAAGGATGGTGCTTTCAGACCAGAAGGGTTATCATACCTCCACGTTATCAGAAAGTATCGAGTTATTATTTTAACTCTAAACTTACCAACGGTGTCACAAGGTTCATCTTTGTGTACGCAGAAATCTGTCCTAAAAAAATTTTTAAAAAGACAAAGTCAGGTGTGTGCAGTTACCTCCAAAAATGGGAGAAGAAAACATGTCAATTAATTTTGATTACTCATCTTGCCAATAACAAAGTTATTACTTTGTCATGGATTATAATGAAAAATAATAACTAGCAGTGTTTTTGTTTGCCAAGATTAACCACATTTCCAACTGGTTGGCCCAGTAACCCCACATAAGACCCTCTTTTCATAGCTAAACTATTTCACACATAGCACTTAGGTGCTGGAAAGTCTCCATCCAATGCTGAAAGTTGCAGAAGAAGATGCTTACCAAGTCATCTATCAGAGATAATTATTTGTCAATATCATCACACTATAGTGACTTTCTAATTTACTCTACTTGGGCAGGAACTAGTTTTAGATGCTTGAATGACCATATATCACTTACATGAGAACATAACAAAAAAGTCATTTCTAAAAGTTATATTTTGGGACTTCCCTGGTGGTTCAGATGGTCAAGAATATGCCTGCAATGCAGGAGACCCAGGTTCAACCCCTGGTTGGGAAGATCCCCCAGAGAAGGGAATGGCAACCCACTCCAGTAACCTTGCCTGGAGAATCCCACGGACAGAGGAGCCTGGAGGGCTGCAGTCCATGGGGTCACAATGAGTTGGACACGACTGAGCTGCTGACACACTGGGGGTCCAGTGGCTAAGACTCCACACTCCCAATGCAGGGGGCTGGGGTTCAATTCCTGGTCAGGGAATGAAGATATCACATACTGTGTGGCACAAACTTAAAAAAAAGTTATATTCTTTAAAGCTCCCTAGGATCTCCCCAGTGTGTGGCTGTGGACAAATGAAATGGCAAAGATGCTTGAAATCTGGTGTAGCTCTGGTTCTGCATGTACAAGGGGCTCCGTCTGGGCCCTTCTTTCTGCCCACAGGTGGAAGCTAACCAGAGCACTGGCTGAGGAGGTATCCTGCCCAAGATGCAGCGAGAACAGCAGGGTGTGGCCCCACGGTCATCCTATCATGGGGACCCGTGGGAGCTGGGAGAAATCACCCCCTCATCTGCAGCTCTCTAAACGCTCCAGTGAAGCTTCAGGCTGAAACATGTTCTAAGGCACCTCTTCTCATTCAACTTCAAAAAAATTCTCTGGGAAGAAAATCAGGGCCAGCCTGACGATAACGAAAGTGGCAGTCCTGCACGGGCTGTACACCCCTTCCCTCTCTGATAGTCCACCCCACTTCAGCATTCAATGTCCTCAATTTCTCCCATCTTCAGTCAAAAAATCTATTCTCAGGGAAGGGCTCTCCCACTCACACTGGGGACGATGACAAGAAGGCAATGTAATACCATCAGCTTTCCTTTTCCCTCCACTCCAACCCACAGCACATTCTGTCCTATTTATCTCCATAAAGTAACCTGGGCTTCCCAGGTGGTACAGTGGTGAAGAATCCGCCTGTCAATGCAGGAGGTTCAAGAGACACAGCTTCAATCCCTGATTCAGGAAGATCCCCTGGAGGAGGAAATGGCAACCCGCTCCAGTATCCTTGCCTGGAAAATCCCATGGACAGAGGAGTCTGGAGGGCTACAGTCCATGGGGTCACAAAGAGTCAGACACGACTGAATGACTGAGCACAGAACGGAACAATGTGACCCATGCCTACCACCTCTCAGCAATATGTGGCTGTCCCCTTGAAAGGAGCGAAATCTTCGTGCTCCCAGCACCAGCTCTGCTTCAGGCTGGCTTGAATGCTGTCACAGATCCAACCTACCCACTAGACCACAGAGTCCAGATCTGTAGGCGTGAAGATTCCACGTGGGGTTCTGAGGTACAGAACACCCTGGTCGAGGCCACCGCCTCAGGCCTGCCAGGCACCCCAGACACCCTGCGAGCTCAGAGGAAGGGGCATCGGGTGGGTGCGGCAGCTTGGAGGGGAGGCCCTGAAGCTGGGCCCAGACAGTGGGGGGGAACTGGGCCAGGGCCCTCGGCAACCCACCTGAGTGCTGCTGACTGCACTTCTAAATTTTCACAATAAACATATATTTTGGTAATCAATTTTAAAATAGCTTTAACAAAGGATAAAAGGAAGCCTTGAAGACCCCCAATGCTCAACCCCCTCCATGGAAAAAGAGATGGAATAACCATAGGAAGACAAAGACTCGTGCCTTGATTTTTTCTGTCAAGGATGAATTTCAGAAGACTAACTACAGGCAATAGAGGATGGCAAGGAAGATGCATGGGCAGAGAGGAAACCAAATAAAATTAGGGACATAAATATATTCACTGGCCTTGTATTTAACTAACCCCAACCCAAATTTCTTGACCTGACACTCCCCACTGGAATGTTCTGAGCATGTCACTCACATATACGCCCCCTCCACCCTGCCCCCCACCCCCCAGACTGGCCTGAGACCTTGCTCCAGGGTTTCCCAGAGCAAGCAACTGTAAGCATCATCCCATTGCCTCTCTTGGGCAAGGGGAGAAAGGCTGTGTGGTCATTAGTCTCATAGGAGAGAACTAAACAGGTTGACAGGGCTGCTGAGGGAACTGGCCACACCACCTCCTCTCTAGCTCTCTGGCCAGCTCGGGGGTAGACACTTAAAGGGCACAGTGTGTCCTCATCCCCCGGCTTCCCTGGAGGGAAACAGGTGGTCCCAAGTGATGAACCCTGCAGCAGCCCCTGCTGCTTCTCCCGAGGAGGTGGGTTCACAGGGAGCCAAGTTCAATTAGAGGCCTGCTTTGAAAGGGTCACCAAAATCTGCATCTTCTCTCCCCTTCCAGTTCAAGGTCCTTTCTCAGAAAAGGAAAGTAAAGCCATCCGCCTGCAGGGGAGGCTTCATCTCTAGGTTCTCTGCCTCCTACATGCCAGACCCACAAGTAGGGGCTGTGGGGGTCAAGAGAAATGGAAAAGAAAAAATTAAAAAGTGAGGGTCCCAGTGCAGCCCTCCAGTCTTTATGTCTGCTTACATTCACATTCCACTGTTTCTACCTCAAGAAAAGAAAGGCTGCATGGATCTACAGGCCAGGGCGTGCTCCACGGGTGTGTCAGCTGCACCGTCACACAGGCCCCTCACCCAGAGCCTCCCATCCGCCAACCTGCTTTAACACTCTGCTCTCAGTGTCTTGAAATTCTTAATAATTTTTAACATGGGGCCCATGCTTTCATTCTGCACTAGGCACAAGTTACATAGCTAATTCTGTACATCACCTATGGCCTGGCGTACAGTTGGGGTTTAATAAATACTGACTCCTTTACTAAACGACTGGCATACATTTCCAGGCCACTTTCAACGTGCCTTATCAGCTCCCTGGCGGCCTCACCTCCTCCCAGTGTTTAAAAATGTAACGTATCCGCCGATCTCCCAGGAGCAGGACCAGAGGCTGAGAGAAGACCAGCCTGGGGCTGGGCAGGGACTGGGTGGAGTCACGTGGGAAGAGAAAGTGGATGGACAGCTGGACATGTCCCAGTGGCCACACTCTGGGCTGGCCACATGGTCCCTACAGCTATTTTCCAGGAGCACAGACCTGGGTCTCGGGGGTAAAACTCCAGGTTTTCTGGAGGAGGTGTGGAGCCATAGGCGAGGCCACGACAGGCGTATAGCTCCCTAAAGGGCAGTCTGTGTGGGCCCCGCCTGGCCCCTGGACTCAGTCTACTGAGACGTCCCTGGTGGCCCCACATGGCTGCAGCTGCTGGAGACACGGCGCCCGCAGCTCCTGTCTCAGCAGCTTCTGCTCGACGTGATGTCATGCTCCCTTCTCAGCGGCTGGCCATCTGTACGGTTGGTGGGCATCCAGAAGGATACGTTCTCGGGCTCAGCCACAGCCCAGATGGAAAACAAAAGAAGAAACCACACCAGCAGCCCCAGGACCCGAGGACGCCGGCCCGTGCGGCCTCCAGGTAGACCTCTGGTCCAGATTCCTCTTGGGGGAAGGGCCGCTGGTCCAGAGTGGTAGTTGCCTTGCACCCGGCTTCCCTGTGACGACGTCAGCCCATCAGCATCCCAGCCCAGGGAACCGCAGCTCGCAGCCTCTGATTTCTAAACGGTGCATCTCAGTCCCGTGGGCTTCCAGCCCCGGCTCCATGGCTGCCACCCTGTCCTCGTAGGAGGTCTTCAGTGTAGCGTCTGTGAGGACCCAGGAGACGGGCAGCACCATTATTTCAGTCCAGCGCCCCCCCGGAAGCAAGGGAGGCCAAAATTGCTTGGAAAGGAGAAAGACAACGCTGGCAGGGCGGAGGCCTCTACGTCCCTTCTGCCTGCCGCTGAAGACACCTTGCCTTCCCAGGCCACCAGATATCTTCCTTGCCAGCTCCCACAAATCGTCTGCCATCAGGACCACCCCCTCCAATGTGCTTAGTTAGAAAAGAACATTTTAAAAGATTTTTACTGTCGTAAAATAAGTTTTACGACAGTAAAACTTACCATCTTACCCATTTTTAAGTATACAGTTCAGTTCTGCAGTGTCAGGTATACTCACATTGTTCTGCAACATCTCCAGAACTCTTGGAAGAGTGAAATTCCATACCCATTAAACACCTCCCTATTCCATGTTCCCCGCAGCTCCTGGCCACTACCATTTCTGTCTAAATGAATTTAACTTTTCTAGGTATGTCACACAAGTAGGATCACAAAGGATTTGTCCTCTTAAGACTGACTTATTTCACTCAGCAAAATATATCCTCCAGGTTCATCTATGTGGTAACCAGTGTTAGAAGTTCCTTCCTTCTTAAGGCTGAATAATATTCCATTTGTTGGAATACAAACAGCAACAAACATCAGTCACCACATTTTGTTTATCCACTTCTCCATTGATGGACACTTGGGCTGCTCCCACATTTTACTTATCATTAGTAATGCTGTTATGAATATAGGTGTGTGAATATTTCTTCAGAACTCTGCTCTCAACGCTTTTAGAAGTGGAATCGCTGGATCATATGGCAGTTCTATTTTTAATTTTTTGAGGAACTGCCATACTGTTTTCCACAGTGGCCGCACCACTTTACATTCCTACCAACAGGGCACAAGAGTCCCAAGGCTTCCACATCCTCACCAATGCTTGTTCTGCTGTCTGGTGTTTTGTTTTAATAATAGGCATCCTAATGTGTGTGAGGTGGAAAGAAGAACATTTTTATGCAAAATATTTCCAGTACGGTAAATAAGCTGTTGGGTCACAGGAAAAAGAGAAAGGAGAAAGCTGAATGGGAAGCATTCTCAGGCTGAGGGTGCATTCAGTCTCTCTCTTCACAGCGTTTTGTAAAAAGGCTAATCCAGAAGCTTTGTCAACACTAACTTTGGTAACACCTATTGCCTCTGATAAAAAGGCTACTTGTTCCCAAACCAAAGCCACTTGCAAGTATTTTCTCCCCCGGACAAGAAAGGAAACAGCAGGAAGGTGAATAACCAATATAGTAGAAATTCCCCTAGGTTATTTTTAAGAAAACACCAGAATTTATACATTTCATATAGTATTTATACAAACCACTTTCAAAGTAATAAACCTGGAAGTTTAGCTGCATATTCCAAAGTTGATATTATTTAGAGCTCCTTTCTAGGAAAAGTTTTTACTCCTCATCTAAATATCATTTGGAAAATCAATCACATTAATTTATAGTCACATAGAGACATGGTTCCCAAGGAACCATGCCTTCTCCCCAAATCAAACCCACTCTCAAAGACTGCAGCCATATACTCAGTACAATCCTCAGTGCTTTACCGAGCACCCCAGAGGCTCCAAAAGCCATTTCAAAGAGCATGGGCGCCTCTGATTAGTGAGTGTGGGGGCCAGAGCTGCTGGAAGAGACGGCATCCAGGGGTTCCCATCATTGACGGGGTGGGTAAAAGCAGCTTAAAGCAAGTACAAGGTCATGCTCACCCCTTGTCTTTGGTGCCTAGTAGACCATCAGCCACACGTAGGCAATTGGAATTTCTGAATAGACTTCCCAAGTGTCCCATTATACATTTAATCACATCCTGAAGAAGCAGCAAGTGTTCTCATAAGGGATCAGATCACATTTTAACCTTTAGGGTTCACAACTGATGAATCATCTACAAGTGTGATTAGGTATCTCTTCGGTGTCTGACGGTGGCAATGTGCATGTTCTAGGTTTTTTGAGGAGAAGGCTAGTGAGCTATAATACCTGGTAACTGGTGCCTGAGGCTGAGATCACAGAACGCATCTGGCTAACTTCAGGACATCATCAAGCCAGGGGCTTGTATGTGGCCCAAGGGATGCAAACCAAGAGCATTTCTGCTCATTCTGAGCATTTCTAAGTCTCAAACCAGATTTAACTCCTCTTAGAGGAGTAGGCTATCTTCATGCTAAAGATACAATAAACTGTTCCCTGTCTCTGAACTTAAAGGAAAAAGAAAGCATATAATTTTGAAAGTAGTTTCTTAAAAAAAAAAATCTTAAAACCAAGGTTGATATATTCATTCAAAAAGTAAAACATTGTATTTTAACCTAATAGGTTAAATTGTCATGAACCATTTCCACATATTTTCTAAAAGGGGATTTTGGTGTGAACACATAATACATCTTATTTACATTACTGAGGTAAAACAATCAAGGAAAATCAGTTTTTCTAAGAGAGATTTGAAACATAGGAAAAAAATCAAATAGCCACATCTATACCTACAGAGAGTTGAATTGTGTCCCCAAAAAGACACGTTCAAGTCCTAACCCCCAGTCCCTGTGAATGTGATCTTATTTGGAAGATCAATCAAGTTAAGATGAGGTCACACTGCATTAGGCTGGGCCCCCATCCAGTGTCTGGTGTCCTTACAAGAAGAGGGAAACAGGGACATGGGGAGAGCATCACGGGACGGTGGGGGAGAGACTGGAGATTTGCATCCACAAGACCAGGGATGCCCAGGACTGCGGCAGCCTCCTCAAGTTAGGGAGGAGGAAGGGTCTTCCCTCCTGAGCCTCCAAGAGAGCAAAGCCCTGCCCACACCTTGACTTCAGATTCCTGGCCTCCAAAACTGTGAGAAAATAAATTTCTGGTTTTTTGAAGCCACACACTTTGTGGTAGTTTGTTACTGCAGCCCTAGAAAACTAAAATAACATTGCAGCCATCTACACAGAGAGACGCCTTTGATTACTACTGTCCAGCAGGGTCCCTGGCTTCCCTCTCAACCAGGACGAGTGCGTCCTGCTCTGCAGATGTGAAGCTCAGCTCCTGGCTTCAAATGGAGCCCCTCTGTGAGTTCCATGGCATCTCTGCCTGCTGCCGCGTCCTGAGAGTGCCCACAGACGGGGCTGTGCACGGCACACACATTCACCTGCACGGACTTCCTGCTGCCTTGCGCCAGTTCAGGGGCTTTAGTTGTGTCCTGCTCTTTATGACTCCATGGACTGCAGCTCGCCAGACTCCTCTGTCCACGGGATTCTCCAGGCAAGAATTACTGGAGAGGGTTGCCATGCCCTCCTCCAGAGGATCTTCTTGACCCAGGGATCGAACCCATGTCTCCTACATCTCTTACACTGCAGGTCGATTCTTAACCCCTGAGCCACTGGGGAGCATGGACTTCCCTCAACAGGAAAACTGGGGTATCCACTCCCTCCAGTAAGGAAGCAGCCTCATACACAGGTGAGCTCTTTCCAGTGAGCATTATATTTGGTGTTGCGAAGAGGTAAATTTCAAGACAAAATTTCCTGAAGTTTTAAGAGTCTTGGGTAACAAGAATTTCAGTAGTTTTATATTCATAACAGCAATAACAATAATAATAGCTAGTACTTTCATCCTTAATTTGAGCCACTGTAAGAGTGCTTCCCATACTCATTTAATCCTCACATCTCAGAGACAGGGCTATCAATTTATCCACATCTTACTGATGAGGAATTCAAGGTTCAGACAAGTGGCCAAAGGTCTGATTTCCAAGCCTGACTTTCTCTCCAACAGGAAATGCCTTCCCTCTCAAGTCTGCAGCTCCAGGCCGAGTCTGGCTTTACCTGGTCACAAATACAGCAGCATCCACGGGGGGCGTGTCGTCCTTGCCTCCTGGAACCTGGTTGTTGCCGAGGTACCGTGCACCTCCATACTCTTCATTCTGCCAGTGACAGAAGCTCTCCAGGGACCGCTCACCATGATGCCCAATGGACAATTTGGCCTAAAAGAAATCAGGGGGCAGTTACAGAAGCCACTTCCCAGGGAAGCCAGAGTTTATGCTCAGCCCACAGCACGGATATTAAGGAAGAGACAGCTGCTCACAGGGCCATTATTCAATGTCACCTGTCCACAGTGCCAGTAGGCAGATGCAGAGACCCAGAGGGACGCTAACGGGGCCTTACCTATAAGTTAGGATGAAGACTATCTTACTAAAGAAAAGCTTTCTTCTTTTTAGCAAACTGAACAGCATACCCAACATTCTCATGTGCACTGCTTAACTCTTTAGGTTACACTTTCATAAGGAAATGCACTCAATCAAGACCAGAAAACGATGCTACAGGGCAAGCAAATTTGACCTGAAGTTTGGATAGAGCTCCAAAAGGCTAGCTATGATTCCAAAGACCTCAACATCAACTCTGCACTCAGGAGACATGGGAGAATGAAGGAGGGGGGACAAAGGCCCACTGCTCAGGGTTCCCCGAGATGCTGAGATGACGTGCACGCCAGCAGCAGTGCCTATCCTCCTCTCTCCAGGCATCCCCTGGTCCCTGGCCTAGGGCACACTGCTGCCATCTGCAAAGACAGGGAAAGAGGACAAAGGAAAACACCTGGACTCCTCCCTAGCACTCAACAGCCACTAAGGAGACTGAGGACCAGATACATTTTCTGTAACTGTGCTGATGGAGACTTACAGGACGTTGTCGTAGCAGGACAAGCTTGGTAACCTGAATGTTGACTTTAATTCCAAGGCTCTGGTGCTGAAACATATTGTATACCTGTCAAGAGAGAAAAAAAGAAATGTAGAGAAATACAAATACAAAAATTAAAAAAAAAAATAGCACTATCCTGAAACAAACAAAAGATACTAGATAAAAACTAAGGATATCTGAACAAACTATGGACTTGAGTTAATAATCAACAACATTGGCCCATTAGTTATAATAAACATATCATATTAATGTAGGATGTCAATAACAGGAGAAATTGTGTATGGGAATTCTATGTACTATCTGTCAATTTTTTAAATAAATCTAAAACACAATATAAATGCATGAAATATAAATGTATTCATTTATAAATTAATGAAATATAAATTATATTCATTAAAAGTTAATTACTTAAAAAATTTTTTTAAACTGTGTTCTTCCAGTACAAAAAAATCTAAATATATGATTTGCAATCATATGTATGTATGAAATTCAAATTTCAATGTTCATAGATATTTATTTGAACAAAAAATATATATATGTAAGATATATAACCCAGATTTTATTTAAAAGGCCTTCTGAGACAAAAAAAATTCCCATAAGTATAAATTCCTCAAAAGAAACTGGCATAACAGGAAACTCTGGCATCACATACATGTGAGGGCATACAAGCACACATGCAAAGACCAACTGGAAACAAGCTGGTTGAAAAAAATGCATAGGATGGGTGAATTTGAAAAAAAGAAATGGTGTCAGTTGGTTCTGGTGTTTCCTGCAGGAGGGTGAAGAGGATCTTCATGACGGGATGGGCAGAGTCCGTGCCTGTGGCCTCTGCCACGCGCCAGTCTGCATCATCTCTAACCCTCATCACAACCCATCACAGGCAGTGTCTCCACCAACCTCGATTCAATGAAGTAAAGCCACTCGCTCAAGACTATCAGTCAACTATGACCACAATCCAAATTCAGCTTTGTCCAGCTGTAAAAGCCACATTCCTTTCTACCCGAAGTCCTCATTCTAACCAAAGTTTGTCAGTGAGACACAGTAACAGAAACACCTATGCCCCCTTAATTCCGCACCTCTTGTTGGTAGAACTTAGTTACAGGGGTCTCAACATCAAGAAATCACAGAATCCAAGGGGAAGAAGGATAGGACAAGTCAAGTAAGACAGAAGAATGAAAGTTGATGTAGACAGAAAAAAACCCATTGGATTTGAGGACCCCCAGATCATGACAACCTCCTGAGCTCCTTCCCAGGAGAGAGCGGGATTCAGGGAGGCAGAGTGGAGGAGGTGACCAAGGCAGTAGTATCAGACAGAGAGGGGAAAGGTAAGAGCCTTTCAAATGGTCCCTTTTTCTTTTAAATGAGGGAAATACTTTTGTTTCATTATGCCCTTTTCCCAATGTTCAGTTCATTTCAGTTCAGTCGCTCAGTCGTGTCCGACTCTTTGCGACCCCATGAATCGCAGCACGCCAGGCCTCCCTGTCCATCACCAACTCCCGGAGTTTACTCAGACTCATGTCCAAGGAGTCGGTGATGCCATCCAGCCATCTCATCCTCTGTCGTCCCCTTCTCCTCCTGCCCCCAATTTGTCCCAGCATCAGGGTCTTTTCCAACGAGTCAACTATTCACATGAGGTGGCCAAAGTACTGGAGTTCCCAATGTTATTAATATATAATTGCCTTAGGTTCAGGTATACAACATGATGCTGATGCTGGGAAAGACTGAGGGCAGGAGGAGAAGGGAACGACAGAGGATGAGATGGTTGGATGGTATCACCGACTCAATGGACGTGGGTTTGTGCAAACTCCGGGAGGTGGTTAAGGACAGGGAAGCCTGACGTGCTGCAGTCCATGGGGTCGCAAAGAGTTGGACATGACTGAGCGACTGAATAACAATATAACATGATGATTATATATCCTATATACCACAGTATATATAATATAGTAAATATATACATATCTGAAAATGATTACCACAAAAAGTTTAGTGCATGTGCCTCACCCCATACAGTTACAACTGTTTTTCTTGCGAAAGAACTTTTAAGACCTACTCTTGTAGCAACTCTCTGGACTTTCCTGGTGGCTCAGATGGTAAAGAATCTGTCTGCAATGTGGGAGACCCAGGTTCAATCCCTGGGTCAGAAAGATCCCCTGCAGAAGGAATGGCAACTCACTTCAATATTCTTGCCTGGAGAATTCCATGGACAGAGGAGTCTGGCGGGCTACGGTCCATAGGGTCACAAAGAGTCAGACAAAACTGAGAGACTTTCACTCTTAGCAGCTTTCAAATATATGATACTATAGTACAGTTAACTATAGTCACCATGCTGTACATTACATACCCAGGACTTATTTATCTTACAACGAAAAGCTGTACCTTTGACCACCTCCACCCAAATCCCTACTCTCAGCCTTTGGGAACCACCAATCTGTTCTCTGTATCTATAAGTTCAGTTTTGTTTTGTTTTTTTTTAGATTCCACTTATAAATGAGATCATACTGTATCTGTTTCTAACTTACTTCACTTGATTTTGAATATGTTACTTTTTTTCTGATAGACATAATCTAGAGGGAGAATTTTTCAGCAGGGGCATTAAAACTTTCTCTCCAGTACATCAGCAGCAACATAAAGCAATGGCTACTGCCAATAGCATGGCCACAGCTAATCCAGGCCTCGTGAAGCTGGACACACCACTGGGCAGAGAAGCAGCAGAAACCAGGCACGCAGTGTTCGAGCATCTGTGCGACAAAGGAATTAGCTGCGTCAGTGCTTGGATTTTTCTCTTTGAAAACTATTATGAAAGCAAAACAATCTTTGTGTAATTTAATATTCTTTCCCACAAGGAAAAAGACAACATATTCAGTTCTTCTGTTCTCACTCCCTCCTTCCAAAACTTTCTCTTTCCTTAAGAACAAAATTGCAGTCATTTTTAAAATTCTGGATCATCTGTAGGCCAATTCTTAAGTCATGCCTTAGCTACCTATCCACAAACCTGGATGAAGAAGAGAAAAGCACATAACTTTTTCCTTGTTTTGATATTCTGAGAACCACCCAATGGCTATAAATCAAATTTTTCCAGAAATATTCAGCCTTAGGATTGGGCCCAAACTGGAAAACCTCAATTCAAAACATGAAAACTGGGAAGAATAAAAACTTTAAATTATGAGGGAGAAAATTCAAGTCACACAGGGTTTCAAAGCACAATCGAAACATTGCCTGTAATAGTAACACCAGCCAAAGACATTAAAGAATACTGCAGGTTTAAAGGAACAACACAGGAAACCAGTTCTCAGGGTGTTCTGACACACCCCCTGAAAGCTGCATTAAGAATGGAGCCTGAACGGAATGATGCAGGTTTCAGCAAGGACAGAACCACAGGGACAAACTCCCTCCTCAGAATTGATGGGTTTTTCTTTTCCACCTGAGGACAGCTCGGCACATTCCATATAAGGCTCAGGTGCTGTCCTTGGAACAAATACACAAAAAAATACGTGAACTGGAGCGGGAGAAAAGCTTGATGCTCCAGGAGCTGAGATGGAGGGCAAGACAGGGGACTTGTTTGATGAGCTCGGAGTTTCAGTCTTGCCAAGTAACAAAGTTCTGAGGTTTGGTTGCTCAACAATGTGAATAAATGTAACAATCCTGAACTGCACACTTAATGACTAAAATGGTAAATTCAGCTATGTGCATTTTACCAAATTAAAACTTTTTCATTAGCTAACTTAAGGTAAGAAGCCTCATGCTCTAAAGATCCTCACTAGGAAGCCTGCCGGAAGCTATCCGCCTTGATGTGTAACCGGGAGGCCCACGTTCAGGAGAACGGGTATGGTAACCTGATCGTGGTCAAAGTGTCTTGTCCCAGGGGCAGACCACACTCCCACAAAGTAGGGCAGACATGCGCTCTCCCTCGGGGGCAGGGGCCAAGGCAGGCCGGCTAGCTGAAAATGCAGCAGCAGCCCCAGAACACAAAGCAGCAGGCCTCAGAGACGTGTAGCAAAGGCTGCCTGTCTTCCTCGCCTGTGTGGAAACGCATGCTCAGGAGAGCCGTGGAGGTGGCGGCCCCATGATGTTTAGGGAGATACATGGTTGGGGAGGGAACGGCCCATCGACCGCCTGCAGTCTGTCCCGCTCCAGCCGGCTGCGTGCGTCCTGGCGCGCTCAGAGCCCCAGCTGCATCCGCCGCATCAGCACCCCGGGAGCTGAGCCGGGGACCTGCGGCCAGCAGCGCAGTGACCTGGGAACACAGGGAGGGGCAGAGAGGGACAGGTGATGGGGCATCTGTGGAAGGAGCTCATCCCAAGGCTGGGTGGGGGTGCTGTTTGCAACGCCAGGCCAGTGGGGTGTGCGGGGAGGGCGCTCACAGAGCACTACCTACCAGCATGACTCGGGGCCTTCCTAGGGACAGAGGGGACCCAGAGGGGGCACATTCACATCGCCGCTGCACCATTCAGACCCCACCCTGGAGGGGGCTGTATTCTCTAGCAGTCCCTCTGACAGGGGTCTCTGAAGCAGCAGCAACATCCCCTGGGCACATTCTGGAAACACATTCTGGAGCCCACCCCAGAACCAGTGGATCATCAGACAGCCTAGGGGGCAAGCTGTCTGCATCCACCAAGGCCCCCAGCATCCCTGGGCTGTGGGAACCAGTGAGCCCTCGAACACGCCACCGGTCTCTGCTCACCAGAGACAGGCTAGTTTTATGTTTCATATGGTAATTGAGTCAAATTGATGTCATTTTTCCTCCAAACAGAACTCGCCTGGAATGTCTCAGGTTTTCGTTCCACTCTGTGGTTGTTAAGGAAGCTAAAAACAACCAAAGCTCTGTCAAGTGGCCCCATTTTCCAGTTTGGCTGCCCAGACCCAGGGCTTCGAGTGTCAGCACCACCTGTTTCCGTCTGCAATTTGTTCTTTAAACTATTCCTGCTGCAGTGTCTCCACCACCCCCAAGCAAAGGAAAGCAAGTCATGCATATAACAAGGCACTACAGCACCTCTAGAAAATCAGCCAGATCTTCAGATCACTCAGGGCACGGGCTGCAGCTTGCTGACAGCCCAGAGATCCAGGAC